GACAGCGAAACGAGCAAGTTCCTGATCTGGAGGCTGTTTTCAGATCCTGGCGGCATGTCGAAAATAGCTCCGTCTTCATCGTCCGTTTCAAATCCTCCCTCTTCTCTCTCCATAGTATATGGATTTCAATTTAGGGAATTGGAGAAGAGAAAGGGCAGCAAGCAAATTTATAGGGGTGGGTGCGCATTGGTTTGGCTAAATTTCTATAAAAACAATACCTAAAAAAACAGAGCAGTAAAAGTACAGTTCCAAAATACCAAAAGACTTCCAAATATATATAGATAATAGAGAAAGGAAACAAGTTCATGGATTACCGCATTATATTAAAACTATATAAATGAATAAAGAAAAATATACTGAATATATATAGTACGTGACTTGTGCGAGACACGGAATATATTTATTTGGGATTATTATATTATAAGATGCAATATTTAATAAAAGTTTTACAATACACGAAAATAGTTATAAATAATGTAAATATCTAAATACATACACGATATGTGGAATAAATAAACCAAATTGCAAATCTGAAAATATAATTTAAAAAAATCGAAAATATATTTCACTAAACATGTACAAAAATATCTAAATACATACACGAAAAAAAATATACGTTTCAAATTTCGAAATTAAAACAAAAAATCAAATAATTTGGCTTACAGTTTTGTCATGCAGAACCAACTCGAGATATGATTTGTATGTGCTGCCCCAGTCTTGGAAAAACATTCTCACAATTCGAACTTTGAGCATAGGTCTATTAGACCTATTGACTTGTTTGATTAACCCAAATCTTTGATTCATTGTTTTGAATAAAAGACTGATTGGGGATTTTTTTGTTCGCAGGAGGTTGATAGTGAGGAAGATAATGGCTCGATATTTTGAGATTTGTAATTTATAATGGGTAGAGTAGATATATATATTGTTGTTAATATTTTTATTAAAAAATCTGAATTTTAATATACAGGAATCGGTTTGAACAAAATTAGTACTGATTTCTATACAATTAGATAATAAATAAAGCCTTTTTTATTTTAGTAAAGATTTTACGTACTTTTTTTACTTATCGGATGTTATGGGGTTTCTTTTGTTAAACCAATTTTATGGGATATAATACAAATACAATTAGAGAATTGAACAAAATCGTAATAGATTTCCATACAATTAGATAATAAGAAGGAATTAGATAAGGAAAAGAAGGAATTAAATAAGAAATTTTGAATCTGCCTTTTTTTTAGTATAGATAGACTTACGTACAAATTTTGACTTCACCGATTTTATGGGATTTGTTTTGACAAAACCGATGTTAATATGAAATAAGACAAATAAATAAAGCCTTTTTTATTTTAGTAAAGATTTTACGTCCTTTTTTTTACTTATCAGATGTTATGAGATTTTTTTTTCTTAAATTGATTTTATGGGATATAAGACAAATAAATAAAATAATTAAATAAATTATGGATAGAAATAACAATGTATTTATTACGTTGTAACACCCCGCTAGCTTATTAAAATCAGAGTCAAATTTTCGCAAATTCCTTTCTAAAAATACGTATTAGTTTGCGAAATCGTGATTCGGGATGCTACTGAAAACCTTTCTTTTATGAAAAACCTGTTATCTTTTCTAAGCTAAAACTGTTAAGAAAAACGAATTATGTTTACTTAGACAAGCATGTAATACTGTGCAAAATCCGACTAGTAAATCGAATCAAATAGCTGGAAATCAACATGCGAGTTTGTAAAAACTGAAAGTGTCAGCGGAAGTAAAAACGTGGCAAAACATATATATATATATATATATATATATATATATATATATATATATATATATACAGAACCAAAAGTCTGTAAAATGGCATAAAGCCGAAGCCTGCGACCACCAGCTCAGCTCACTCCTCATGACCGACCCTCTGACCTGAAAAAGATAATATAGTGGGGGCGTGAGCACTAAAAGCAACTGTACTCTGCAGAAACTCATACTAAAGTAAACAACAATAATAATTGCAATATCATGATCAATGGTATATATAACTGGAACTGTCATGTCATGTAACTGTAACTGCGATCAATCGTATCTGCTACGGGATCGAATACTGTATCTGTCGGCTATATAAACTGCGCCGAAAGCCTATGTGCACACTCTAGTGGGCAGATTACGCCACTAGAACTCAAATGGTCTTACTTTGTCTAGCCTCACTGAGTAGGAACTAAATATACATAACTTGAACATGATAACTGTAATTATACTCAATGTAATACATAGTCTGAGTCCCCACCTGAACTGCTGGTTTGAAAATGTAAGTGTTGCTGCTGATCAAACTGTAAAAATATATAAATAAACAAACACTAAGTACTATGCTCATACTGACTGAAAATAACTGCTAAGATGCTCGACTCGAACTTAAATATTTAATTGGATTTACTGAAATAATCTCGGGTTCTGACTTGACTGATAAATCTGGACTAAACTGGAAACAATGAACTGAACTGACTAAACTGGAAATACTAAACTGAACTGGTACTGCTATATTGGACTGACTGGACTGAAAACTTAACTGAAATACTGAACTGAACTCGGACCGGGTCACTGAGTCCTGAACTGCTCAAGTAACTGGTCTGAACCGGCCGATTCACTGGCTGGCCGGACCACCGGCTCACTGTGGCCGGGCGGTCGGCTGCTGGCTGGGCCAACCGGCACGGTGGTACGCACGC